CCATGAGAAAACATTAAATCCTTTTTCTGGGATTTTTCAAACTTGAATGTTTGGGTGTTTTTTTCTGTACTTCTAAGAATAAACAACACCTAGGGAGTAAAAGATTGCCTCACACAGAACAACAAAAATAAACACAAACTCCACAGCCAGTTCCCTGCCTGGGAGTGCCATCCCAAGCCCAGAGCAGCAGGGGATGCTCTAGGCTCAGTGCAGCCCACAGGGCTTTCTCCTCAGGAGGTAACATTTCTGTACATCATTTGAAGGACACTAATATTGAAATATTTTATTTACTTATGATATCCACATTTTTTACAGTCCACTGAAAATTTGGAGAAGGCGTGCAAAAAAATGTCAGCTCCTACTTGGGAACTGGAGCAAGTGCCATAAAATGATTAGACTTTAAGGGGCCAATCTGTTCAGCTTCTAAAAAAATATTCAAGGTTGGAATACAGATGTACGGTCATGAGAGGAAAACACCAGGTGCCAAAGGACTCCTTAGTCTTGTGGATAAAAATAACATAAAGCTGGAATCTGTAGCCAGACCAAAAATCAAACTAAAAAGAAGGTATTTATACCTTTAACTCAGATATTAACTACTGCAGGAGATTTACAATGGCAAACAATGGATTTTTCATATTTTTCTGATCTAAGCCAGAACTGGATGCTTTTCTTCATGTCAGTTCAAGAAACAGCTATCTTCTAGTTAAACATAATTTCTTGAGTTTGAACAATGAAATGGGAGTTGAAGACAAGGATAAGAAATGGCAATCTGTGCCTTTGGGAAGACACTGTGTATTTCAGAAGGCTACTGTGTAAGCAGACAGGACTGTGAGAATGGTTACTGTATGATTATGAATTTAGCTAAATTTAGGATTATGCTATAGGAAATGTTTCCTGTGTGCCTGTGAGGAGCAGCCACAGCTAACACAGGAAAGACATGATTCCACCTGGATTTCAAGGACTGTCTCCTAGTACAGGTCCTCATGCTGGCGTCTGGCATGGATGGGAAAGAAAGAGATGTCAGTGAGATCTCAGCCTGCTGAGAATTTTCCACAGATTTCAATCTAAGCATCCTACAAGTTCAGTCAGGCTGTAGGGTAACAAAGTGATGGGAAAGAAAGACAGCAAGCACAAAGGGTACCACTTCATCTCAACTGCTCATTACCTGGGGTAACTGCTGGATGTTGGCACACTCACAGGCTAAGGAATTCAATGTCTGGTGGTGAGGGCTCTGTGGCTGAGGCAGGGGAAGCAGCACAGCGTGTCCTTCCTCACAAAAAGCAGGCACTTCTTGCTCTTCTCTGCTGCCATTCCACACAGGGGCTTTCTAAGCAGACTTTCACAGCCAATGTTGAAAGCAGAATTAATCAGGCAGCCTTTTTCCTTGCCAAGAGAAGAGAAAAAAAGTCTAGCAGCAGTAAAAACCTCAAAGAAATCACATTTAAAGACAAAGGATGCTGAAGTCACCTGGGCTGAAGGCCAGAGCTATGTGTTCCCTCTGTACTTTTTCAAATCCTTCTATGTGGATTTCTTTCAAATCCTCCACAGCCAGGCAGTAATAAGAGATCAATTATTTAGATGTATTAGAAATGAGTCTGCTAAGAGATTGCTTAGGGGTCACTTGAGAGCCTAAACGATTTGGTAAAGATCAACATCACTGACCCAATATGCTTTTTATCAACACTAACCAAATTCCCTCCATCCAGAGTGACAAAATGTAATGGAAACTGCTGATGAAAACCAAAATAAAACTGCAACTAATTACTATAAAGAAGTATGCTGTGAGAAAGACTTCAGAATGTTGCCCAAAGGTAAGACATTACTAGCTATGCCCTTCCAGTTTTACCAATATTCAGAGCTTTGAAAGTTGTGCTTCTTTAGAAAAAAATAAGATGATGCTATATGAAGCATTTCTTTAATGGCATACAGTTCACAGTCCCATAATGCTTCTTTTAAGCAACATGCAATTTCTTTATTCAAAGCCTGACAGCAGTCAGAGCTTGGTGCTCTTCATCTTCTCACAGGGTGACACTCCCCCTTCTCCAGCCATCTTAAAAACCACAGCTTGGTTATCTGAAAGGAATTAGTCTCTTCCTTTGGACTTTGGTAAAGGCACACAGATGTTCTGCTACTAGTGATGTCCATTTCCAAACTGTGCCTTGCACACTGCTGGTGTAGAAACCATTCCTACACTCAGGGTAAGGCTTTGACTTTCTCCTGCACGCTGTTCCATCCCAGCTCAGCTTAACTAGCAGGAGCTTAACTAGCAGAAGCAAGCTGCATTTAATGAGGAATAAAGATGTCCTTGCCAAGTAATGCTCAAAAATGATCTTTTGAAGCAAATCTAGGGAACGACAACAAACGTCATGGCCTGCACTGATTTCAGGTGATTAAATACTTGACTTTTACTGAGACACTGATGTTTACAAGGAATTACAAAAAAGTATGGTTCAGGCTACCTCAGTATGACATTTCAGGACCCTGTTCTCTCTTCCTTATGGAAATTCACAGTAAAAGTTTTTAATCTGTTCTGTTACTTCAGTTGCAAGCTAAACTTCAGCAACCTTGCCCTGATTATACCTGTAATGAATGGAATTTATGAAATAACTTAAACCATATCATGGCTTATACTTTTGTTGCACCATTAATTCAAATCCAGGTACTTAATTATATCTTCTTTTGTGTGTTTATCTGTATTTATATTTTTTGTTATTAGCTTGCTTGGCAGAGATGGAAACAGGAAGCAAAATGCAGGAAAAGAGAGCATTTTTGTATTTTTTACATTGGCCTGTCTTTGACACAAATCCTCAAGTTCATCAAGACCTTGACTTACGATCCACAGAACGGATGTTATGTACATTATTGAGTACTCCTCTGAACAGAATGGGATGCTGAAGTGGAGCTTCTGTTATTTAACTGCTAAATTAAATCTTATGCTCTTTTTTACCCCATGGGAATACACATTCTCTGTCTGCTCTTGGAAAGCAGAAAATAAAAGATGGAGAATGGCAACATCAATGTTCCTGCTGTCCCGAGACTACCGATCATTAAATCAATAGCAAACCAGCACACTGTAGGTCCCGGTGTCTTTTTCTGAGCTAATGTTCTCTTTTGGACAAAGAGACCTAACACTGGCTGTATAATTAATAGTGTCTGTAGTATGAAGAAAACCAGATTTTACTCACCTTGCTTGAATGTCACTGATGAATATTCACTGTGTTTAAAGGTAGATGACAAAAGGAACCTGCGTTAATCTGGGAGTGTTACGTACTGAAAACCAACAGGTACTTCCTCCAGTACTTGGGTACAGTGCATATCAACAGTCAGCAAAGGAATAGCTCTTTGTTCAGAGATCTCCTTAGCTGAAAAAATAAAAACTCTAGAAAACATACTAAAAGGAATTTTCTTGCTTTCTTTTCTGAGAGATTTCCTGAACCACATTCGAAGTAGAATCTGGGACATCCAGCACCCACATTTGCACGAAAGAATACCACTGGGAGGAATTCAGTATCTCACACAACATGGTGGAGTGACCCCACGGCCTGTCACAACATGGTGGAGTGATCGATGGGCTGCCACAAAATGGCTGAGTGAACCATGCCCTTAGCCAAAATGGCGGAGTGACCACGGCCTGACACAAAATGGCGGAGTGAACCACAAAGACTGACACAAAATGGCGGGGTGTCCCACAGCCTGACAAGAAATGGGGGCTGTTTCCCCCTCCAGCCCTCACCCACCATTTCAGACCGACACCCCCATCTCCCCCCGGCGTTCCCCAGCATGTCGGGCTGTCCCCTCACCCAGTGGTGCCGTCTGTCCGTCCGTGTGGGCCCCGCAGGGACCAGCAAAGCGCAGCCGTGCCCGGGGAGCCCCAGGGGAGCGGAGCGAAGGACACGGCCCGGCTTCTGAGGGCTCCCCTGCCAGGGGTTTAGAGCCTGCTCAGAGCACGCTGCATCCCAGGTGTTGCCTACAAACCCTTCTCCTTTTTCTTCCTTTTTTTTCTCCTACCTTCTTCTCAAAATACACTGTACACCAAACTAAAAAATCCCAGGCCATGCCTTAGTATCCTGTTGTGTCTGGATAAGTTAGAATTTGGCTAAGTTAAACAGTACCAAGTTCAAGTTTGTGAAGTGCTTTACTTTGGGTGGTGCTCAAAATTTGCCAAGTGCCTCATTGTGCCATCATGCTCTGAAGTTTGCAAGTCTGGCTGAGCCTCACGACCTCACAGCCACCCCCTCCCATCTCCCTGCATGTTCTGGTTTACCATTCCTGGAACCCCTTCCACTCCTCTTTACCTGTAGCTGTGGAAGAGTGCTTTGTCTCCAAATTTATGTCAAATTAAATAACAACAGCAACAATAATAATAATAATAATCATAATAATAAGCAGCAGTATCAGCATAACAATAATGATATTATTGGTAATAAAACTTCAAAAGTCACTGATGACATTAAAAATTATCTTACCATTGGAAAATTATTTGTGAAGAGCTTTTAAATAAAATTGAGAAAACCTGAACAAGACAGCATTCTTCTGAAGAATGGGCTGGCCCCTTAAAAGTGTGGTTGTCACTGAGGCCAGATCAGTGATAGTATCCAACCTGCCTCTTCCTTGTGCCCGCAGAGAGCTTGGAGAAAGCTTGAAACAACTTTAAAAATCCTAAGTAAATGCTCCCCACTGTGTGTCCCTGACCCAGGTGTTCTCCAGGTCTCTTTTTCAGTGTTTATCAAACCTTCCCCGAGACTGGGCATGTAGCGTATCTGCAGATGTAAATAAGCTGTGAAATGCTGCTGGGAGAGCGTGTGAGCTACCGAGAGCTCAGCAAACAGAGAGAGGGGTTTGCAGCATCCCCATGAACCAGAGACCACCGTGCCGCTTTAAACTTTCAAAAGTTTTTTAAAACTTTTTTAAAAGTTTGCTTTAAACTTTTGCCCTCTGCTAGATCAAAATATCAAATTCGTTGGAAATGTACTCGCACTGTGTACTCTGTGAACACTTACTCTTGTGGCACATTTATTTAACACACAGAGAACTGATCCACTGCTCTGCCTTGCACCGGTTACTTTCAAGGACTCCCATTCTGCCTGAGAGAGAACAGATATAAATAATTATAGAATAAAATGTTGTCAGAGAATAATGTTCTCTGGCTGCTGTGGCCCAATGAAAGCCAAAGCCACCGTAAAACTTTCAGGGAAAAGGGCAGTCATTAATTCTACGAGGACAACACTCTATCACACCGCCTTGCTGCTGTTCTGCCAAAATAAATTCAAATATCTTAGTCTCTCTGTATACAGTTTAATGCATACACCTAATTTTTGCCTTTAAAAATTACCCTGGAAAATTACATGCATCTTCTCAAAGATATAAATATCTCAATATGTTATTCTCCTTTATTTTAAGGACATCAGTGGCACATTTTTTTAAAAAAAGTGAGAATTTAGAGAACATCCGAGTTCCTGATTACTCACTGGATAGTGTGGATGTGAAGACAGATTTCTAAGGAATTAATTAGTCACCTTAAGGACCACACAGCATGAAAAATAACAGCGACAATATTAAACACTTAAGCAGATACACACCATCCTTTTCTAATTATTATTTACATGCAATTCTCCAAGTCCATTTCTGTGTCTTCCCCAGTATATTCATTACAGAAGTAACTCTAAGAGTTGTTTCTGTGTTTTGGTAAGGGCAGTTTTATTCTGCTTTATAGCTTTGTGTATTCAATTTGCCAGGTTTGGCAGTAGGTACCTGCAGTTAGTTGCCTTTTGAAAAGGTCATGGCTTGCTGGAGTGCTGGACAGTTGCATTTCATTCAGATGTCTGTGTACACTGATTTTAGGAATGCTCAATTTTTTAACCATAATCCATTTATATAATTTCTGAGTTAAGTGACACACTGCTGAAAAACAGACTTATCTGAAATTTTACCAAAATACGTCATAGCCATTCAACAAATGAATGAATCATCAATTTCACTTAACATAATTCATCTTGAAGCTTAAATGTGTGTCTGCATTTTATCAATTACCACAGACCACCAGGAATGTGCAGCCAGTCCATGCATCCATCATCCATGGAAAAGGGCAAACTTTGAAGCATGTCTCAAATGATATATGTATTGGGAGAAGAAATTCTGTTTCAGAAGCAAAATGTCAGACAACATCCCTGCACCAAAAATAATATTAATAAAACAGCTTACTTGAGTTTGTTTAAAACAGACTAGGCCAGAATTTCTATCTCAGATGCAAAAAAAGAGGCAGACCGCTTTTATGAATGCCATAAAAATAAACTATTTTAATAGGTACATAAATAAAAGGTTTAAAGTAAAATTTCCCCCCCCAACATCAAGATGGCCTAGCCTCTGTACAGAAACTGAACAATATTCACGGGACTCCTAAATTAAATAAACCCTTTGTTACATTCAAAACCGCTGAAGGTAAATATATAACGCAGTGACGCACCTGAATTGCTCTCCTTCCTCATCCTAGCAGTGTATACAGTATTTCCTTGGTTTACAGTACTCTGAGGAGATGAATCTGTTAAATAAACTCTGAATGACAGGGTGGAAATAAAATTTAAAAAGTCAACGTTAAAAGAACCCGACAACCCTGGCACCCACGTGAGTACCTTGCATCAGCCAGGAAGTTCTAATGGAAGAGAAATAAGGATTGTGCTGTAAAATAAGTTATATCTTTTACATATAGTTGTAGAGTTATCTTAAAGTGTTTAAATACTACATTCACTTTGGCGATGCGTTTTGGTCTATGCCTGCAATAAATTACACGTGGCGTGTGCTCGTTGGTCGTGTTTTACTGCAAATGGGGGGAGCTCAGCACATCTAGGAAATATTAAAAATATTTCAGAATTATTTAATATGGACAAAATCTAATTTAAAGCAGCTTTCCTCCTATCATGCCCCCCTCCCCAGCACCTCAACAAAGTCAGCCTGATGGCTTCAGTTTTTGCTGTGTTGTATCAAAACAGGTCATAGGTTGATGACTAGCACTGACCCACAGAGGTTCTCTGGTTTTGTTTCTCCTTTCTCCTTCTGAACCACCTGCCTGTTTGAGAACATCTACCACTGACATCTCCATGCTCTCCAAAGATTCCAGCTAATAATTAAGGCAAGGAACCATCATTTGTCCATCGAAGCTAAGTCTCCTAGAACAAGATGCTATCGCTGCTGTTACCCGGAATGTGTCTGGTGATGGGTGAGGACCACTCATCCCGTGGAGGAGAAAGTCTGTCACAGGGTCAGAGTGTTAAAGTATCTTGTGCTGGTGAAATCAGAGACAAAATTACAAGATGACAACTTTCATCCACAGTGCAGAACTGGCATTTCTAGTCCATTCCATCTGAAGTTCAAAAAGTGGGGCCAGGCTGACTGAGGCCTGGCCAAGGAGCCTGCTTAGAGTTTACCCACCAGCAAGACGTGACCGGCAGTGAAATGACTGCCCCTTTTTCCGACTGGCTTTCTTCTTGTTCTTGCTCTTCTTCTGCTTCTTTGCACCTTTGCTTTTATCCGACTTCTTTTTCTTATCGTCCTCCTTAAACCACGGCCCCCAGACTCCTCCGTTGAGCTTGGGGTTGCTGCGAGGGTCCTTGGGCGGGTAGCGGACGGGCACCGCGGTCTTGTTGAACTGCGAGAGCCTCCGCAGCAGCTGCTTCACCACCTCTGGGTGCCTGGCAGACAGGTCCACACGCTCGTAAGGGTCGGCCGTGATGTTGAAGAGCCACACGGTTTTCCCGGCTGACCAGGAGACGCGTTCGTTGTGCCAGCGGTTGGGACCCGCGTTGCTGAAGGCCTGCGGAGGCACCCAGTCGCTGTACCCCGGGTTTCCCGTCAGCAGCTTCCAGTGATTCACTCTGATGGCAGACTGGATGGCCGTGTTCCAGATCCCGTAGCCAGCGGCCCAGGAGCCGTTCTTGGCTTTGGTGTAGATCGGGTCGATGTTGTGCAGGATGTCCACCCGCGGGGAACGCCTGCCCTCGCTGATGGTCTCCCACACGTCGTAGCCATCCAGCTGGATGTCTTCATCGATCTGCCCCTCGGCCAGCGTGATCAGCGTGGGGAACCAGTCTGTGATGTGCACCAGCTCCTTGCACACAGACCCTTTGTTTTTCAGGAGGGGGCTGTGCACAAACCCGACGGCGCGGATACCTCCTTCCCAATAGGTGCCTTTGCTTCCTCGGAGAGGCCAGTTACTGCCTCCGGCCATCGGCTGCCCACCGTTATCAGAAGAATAAATGATAATGCTGTTCTCGTAGTAGCCGTACTTCCTTAGGGCGAGGGTCACGTTGTTTATGGCCTCGTCCAGGCAGGCCAGCATGGCCGCGTACCGCCGCCTGTTGATGTTGTTTATCGAGCGGTAATGTTCAAAATACCTGCCTGGCGCCTGAAGAGGCGAATGGACAGCCTGGTAGGCAATATACAGGAATATGGGCTTCCTGGGGTTATGAGAAGCCAGGATCTGCTGCACTTTCTGCGTGTACATCTGCGTGGAATAGATGCCGTTGTCGTGGTCCCAGGCGGCGTTGTCGTTCTCGTACAGGTCGTAGCCGCATATCCCGGGGCTGTCGCACTTGAAGTGGGTGTAGTAGTCGCCGCTGCCCAGGAGCGAGCCGAAGAAGGAGTCGAAGCCCCTCTGTGTGGGCATGCACTCCCTGCGGTAGAACCCCAGGTGCCACTTGCCCACCATGTGTGTAGAGTACCCAGCCTCCTTCAGCTTCTGAGGTAGCGTGACGTTATCCAGAGGTAAGCAGTTGGGCTGCGTCGGTCGGATGATGGAGTGCTGCAGTCCCGTGTGGATCTGGTACCTGGAGGTGGGAGGAGACAGGCATCAGGCTGGTGGAGGAAATGCTCAGGTGTGTGGACACCTTAACCCCAACAAAAAATATCCTTAGGCAAGCCACAGCCTTCTCTGGAAATATTTCAGAGTGCCTGTGTGTGCTGCTTTCAAAAACCAGCTCAGTCACACTATGAAATCTGTCCTCGCCTCACCATGGGATGAAACCTTCCCCTCCGTGGTCTGAGCTACTCAAAATACCTACATACACAGGAGCACCGATACTTTGAGGCACCCTTCTCTCCTCCACATGTCTCCATTTAACAATGACTATAGAAAATTATGTGGATAAATACAATTTTTACAGTGCCTCGTAATTCGCTAGCGGTGAACGTATCTACAGCATATAAAAATGCTGGGCTTTGAGTGTGTAAGAGCAGTATGTTTAACGGATGGGATAATAAATTCCGCAGTGCGCTACAGGCTATGTGTAAAGAATACATATGGCCTCCATATGATGAGAAAATGAATCCAGCACGGGCAGCAGTAAGTATCAAAAATCAAGGGCAAATATATTTATATCAGTTTGACACTAAAAAAGAGAATGCAACAGCAGATAGCAGACCAAAGACAACTTCTCCCCGCACGTGAGAATATTCAGGTTCAATTCTCAGCCATGCACTGAACAGCCAAGTCCACCAAAACTGCATATCTCCCCCAAAACCAGTTCTTATTAATTTGTTGTAGCAGGAGTTGGGGCTTCTTGACACATTCTGCTGGTGTTGCCAATCTGATCGGCCTCCTGAGCTATCTAGAAAATTAAAACCATTAGGCTCTGCCTGTCCATAAATAACTTAGAGCCTGCTTTCATACGAGGGCTTCCTGGCCAAGATCCTTAAAGGCGCCATAGCTGTCCTTAATGGCTGGCAATGTGTACGGATTGCGTAACTCCCATTTAATTCTGCAGCTAATTTCCACGGAACCAGAAGCTCCGGTCTCCCTAAGTGCCTGCAGAAGCTCTGGGTGTTGTGCTGCTCTGGACCCAGCGTGCTGCACTGTGCTCTGCCCCGCTGGTCCCTCTGCATAGCATTGCCTCTGGGAGCAGGCTGGAGACCTGGAGCCCTGCCACCCAATTGTCCCCAAACTCACAGGCTGGTGCTGACAACGCAGGAGATGCTGCAGGAGAGAGTTAAAACACACTCTGAAAATTACGGGTTTCTGGGATCTACGTTGCGCTTTTGTAAAAGAAATGTCACGTGCACACAAGTCCCACATCCTTCCCATGGTTCAGCTGCAATATTCACCTCTTAAAACAGGTAAATTACAACCAGGAAAGCCATGCAGTGCCCCGTACTTCAGCTCATTCCATATTTGGGACTCCTCAGGGAACTATGTCCACAAGGCATTTCATTTCCTTCTCCTTCCCTTTCCTCCGCCTTGTTAAATCCTTTCAGTAAAATCCCGTTTTTTGATCCAAGTGGAAAAGTCCTTGTCCCCACTCAGTTATTTTAGTCAACAGCTTCTGCTTCCTTAACTCTGACAGCCTCCTCGATCACAAGGTCAGCCCTGAGTCCCAGCTGGGCAGTTTCTCCGTAATAAGCTAATTTTGCTGGAAGTCAGGATTTTCCCTGTTGTGAGCAGGAGGGATCCTTCCACCACCCTTCTCCTCTGGAAACTGAGAAGCTGGGCCTGAGGGGAACAAGCCACAGAATATGCAAAAATCCAATCTGCCTCTTGTGCTTACAAGAGAAAGCATGATAGTCACACAAGGTTAATTCCCATCAAGAATTCCTAAAACACCGGGCAGATTCCCCAGCCAGGGCTACTCAGAGATCCAAGCAAGAAATTCCAACACTGTTGATCTGACAAATACTGAACCAAAAAATAGCAAGAATTAACCTCAGTCATACAGGTTATTCAGCACTGCATCTTGTTTCAGCAGTGCCCTCAGGAAGTTATTCAATATGCTGGTAACAGTGCAGATATAACATACATCCATCTATATGCACATATATTCCCTGCTGCTGCCTCTTTGCAGGAGACTTTGGTGTGTTTCCCAGATGTGTGTGTGTGTCTGTGTGCTATTTCTGGCATGGCTGTGCTTCAGAATATACCTATAGGCACACAAAGAGACACATTTTTATACTCATGTGTGAGAAAAAGAAACCTGCAAACCGATACATTTTTTAAGTCAAAATATTTCAAGTGTAGAAATGCTTCAAAGAAATATCAACCTCTGATTATCAGAAGACTGTTCACTATGACAAAAATGGTCAAGATTTGTTCACTTTCCTGTGCCACATGCCTTTCTAATTGATCCATTATGTGCCAACGTTACTTTTTCAGTGAAAGTATTTCATTTTCAAAGGATTTGCAGGGCATTCGTAGAAAAGCAAAGTAACCTGGACAAAAGAGAGTGATGATATGGAAGCAAATGGCATTAATAGCAATAAGAAAGTTGTCACAAAACAACTGTTTTGAAACTATTTCTAGACTGTGCAAGAGGAAAGAAAACCTGAACCAGGCACAACATAAAGGGATTAAGAGTCAGGTGCTGATTTTGGGGGTGTTCTCTAGCAGATTAAGTCATGAACTCATCAACAGCCATGAAACGTCTGTGAGATACATCCTATAGATTTCATGGCTTCCACTTTTTAGAATAAATTGGTTGAATTTAATCCCAAATGCAGAAAGCAAGTTAGGACTGAGAATGGTCTGGAATTCATTATTAGAATTTCAGCACTAGTAACCAGTCAATTCTAAGCAAATGCCAACAGGCCACAGAATCTATTTCATCATTTTTTAGACTCTGACCTTCCTGGGCATTATTTACATATAGGCCATTAACTGCTAAGAGCCTGTATAAAGAGTAGGGGGGTTCAAGACTTGGGAATACTTTACATGCACATGTTATGCTCTCCTCCCTACTCCTCCAAGATTCTGGATCATAAGTGTCTCTTTTAGAATACCTGAAATTTGCAATTTGCACGACAAGGAACTAAGTAAGATTTGTGCGAAATGTTCAGCTAACAAAACGCATATTAAAAATTAATTTCTCCTCACTATACAGGGATGGCTCTTTGTGCATTTTCTATTCTTGTTTTTGTTTTCCTGGTGTACTGTTCAGATGTTCACAGTGAAACCCACTGTGATAAGTGTTGCAGCCAAGGCAGATGCTCGGTGCTGGCTCACTGACACACTGAGCTGTTTTCTTGTTTGTAGGGGAACCTTTAAAGCAATGGCCTCCCTCTGGGAGCACTCCAGTGACTTCATAGCCCTTTGCTTCTTGGATGCTCAGAGAAATATTTCAGAAGGTTTGTGAAATAAATAAATAAGCAAATAAATCCTCCCTCCTGAGTGTGAGCTCATGACATCCCTTTCCAACACGAGTTCCCTTCCTGTTTTAATTCAGACACAAAGCTCAGGCAGTGGCTCTCACATCACTCCCACCTCCAGTCTCAAGGTACAGAAACCATTCAGTTGCTGAAGGTCAGCTGCACATTGAAGTGTTACGGATGTAAATCACCACAGGCACACCGAAGTCAGTGAGACCTGAGTTTGAGGAATTAACATTGGGAAGCTTCATTTCCCTTTTCTGATGCCCTCAATAGCGCTGAATTAGTTTCCTGTTCTCATCTGCAGAGCAGGAGATCAGTGACAGAACCTTCGCACACTTTCAGTGCTATTCCCCCGCAGCAGAGAGCAGGACTGAGGGGCTGTGGAGGGAAAGATTCTCCTGGCACGCCTCACATCCCCTACACAGCCTTACACAGACGTAGGCCAAGCCAGCTTTCCTGAAAAAATCTTCCCCTGAGGAGTTTTCTATTGAGTGTTTTCCCCCTTAACTTCAGGGTGGGTTTTGCACTGAGGAAGAAGCTGGGATGTTTCTAATTTTGTGATGTGCATGTACAACACTATTGATTTCAAGCTCTCACCATTTTCAAATACTGCATTAATTGTCTTCAAACTGAGATTCTTTTAAGGCTCACTGAAGATTAACAAAGAAGCTCAGTTGGAAGTTTCCAGTTTCAGGAACTTTTGCTAGCATAGCTCTAGTTAGTACATGTGGAAAATGTATTTTTATTATGCTTGCATAGCTCTCAGGATATGTTGAAAAAAAAATCTCAATTTTAAAAATAATGAACTCTAGCCTAGGATTTAGAAAAGGATACTTTAAATAAAAACCCCACATTTGCCAGGAGTTGCATAGAGAGTGACAGCACTGAGGTCTGCATGCTACATAAATTAAAGGGATCATTATTGACGATTGTGTATTTCCTTGTTAAAAATACAGCATGCAGATACCAGTCTAGAACATAGATTTAGGGGTTACTAAAGAACAGCCTTTGACATTTTCCCTGAAACTATTTGTATAACACAACAGCTAAAACAGAGAAATTCCAGGTGAATAGAAAATAGAGAAAAATTTCATTTTGAGGGCCCTCAGTCCTCAGAGGTCCAAGTTAGTGGGGGGAAAAAAACCCCAGCATCCCACTTACCACCAGCAAATCACCAGCAGCAGGACACAATCACCAGAGAGAGAAACCAGATACAACAAGGACATTTTTACACTGGACTGAGGCTTTAGCATGGAGCCCACAAGCCCTACAGGTTTGAAAAAGTTGTTACTTTGGGCAGGGAAGTTCACTCTGAGTCATCTCAAAGTTGTTTTCAGCTTGTGAGGGAAACAAGAACTCTTCTGCTGTCAGTCTTTCACCCAGGCTGGTGAAGAGCAGGGCAGGGGGGATCCTGATCATGGGCATGTTGGATATGGAGCAGTGTGAAAGAATCACACAAAATGCCTCTGCAGCAGAAATGTCTGCCATAAAAACAAAATGCTTCATGTTGCGTATGCTGAGGTTTTTAAAACTAAACTCAGAGTAAAGCTGGAAAAGGGTTGATCCAGGAGACACTGGGGCAGAGGGCAGGGCTGAGCTGATTGAAATGAGATGCAAATAAAGCCATCACAGCCTGACATGAATTGCTGCCAAGCCATCAGCAAGTCCCGTCCCTTCAGACTGATAACAACAA